GATCTGTTGACCATGTGTAGCTGCATGTATACTTTCCCAAAAATTCTCTATATATTTTGTTCTATGGCGATGAGAACAATGAGCAATCATGAAGTAGTACCAGTATCACAGTAATTGCGCAAGCTTTGCATTTGAAGGAGTTTTATGTACGAGATGCAATTGTAGTTAGCCTTCTAGGCCCTTTCATTTTGGACGCAACAAAGGGACAGCAGCGTGACGCTAGTGTGAATATACAGACAGGAATACATGACGTTGTCTAGGAAAGGAAAGCAATTTATGCGAATTTCACTACAATCACAATAGAGAACACCAAATCAAGTTCAATTCAATTTTCAAATCAAAGGTACATAACAGACGAACAGAAATGCTAATTTGAAACACACATGGGCCAGTGGAACATTGTTAATTTACAGCTGGTTTCACTGTGGTGATGACACTGTATGTTCACCAATTTCTACTAATAATAGGCTCTCATTACAAAGGACTTGTTACCTTGTTCCATATGCTTCACATGACCGTTGAGTGGACCGACTTCCATCCCTACAGCATCACCGAAGCTATTCATCAACTTCGCAGTTGACCAAAACAGAGGTAGAAACTAAACAAGTGTAACATCTACGCAACGTGCTGCTTGTTGGTGAGAGGGACAGATTGTTTGCATGTACTTCGGTAGTGGCCCTTCACACCACACCTTGAGCTTTTTTTTTGACGGGACTCCTCTCCTTTAGAAGCTATTCTTTGTGTTTTGCGACGGCCAGGCATAAACTTACAAAAAGGAGGAAGGATTTTGACCTTCTTCAAATTTTCGGGAATAACCCATGTGCCTTCAGGTGGTACATGATAAATAGATTCAGCATACGCAGCTTCCCATGTAGCACGTGTATAATAAGAAGAGGCAAAGGAGTAGGGGTTCAATTTCAAGTGCCGACATACAGCAATAGCGTGCTTGCACGGGAGTTGCTCCAAGTCAAACTTCCTGCATGTACAACTACGGTTTTGCAAGTGCACCAGACCGTTCAAATCACCATCCAGAACATTAAACTCGACATCATTGATTTTGACCACATTCATCCTTGACGCAGCGTCTAACCTCTTCCTTAACTTTTTTTCCCCTAAATCAGGGCACAACGTAGAAAGAGATTTCATTGCTAACTCTCAACGTTGCCTAAACCAACAGAGAAGTAGATTTGTAATTTCGTCAATCAAGTGTAGCACCGGAAGCATCCTTGCAAACCGAAGAACTAAATTAATGGACTCCACAATATTCGTTGTCATCACATTATATCGTCGTCCATCACAATGGGCCCGAGACCACTTCTGGACGCCTGCACGTAGTAAATAAGTTCGCACTCGGTCATTGTTTATCCTGGAAAAGTGACGATTGAACTCCGCTAGACGATAAGACTTAGCTGCCCTTACAAAATACCCCAATATCGGATCCCGCTGCTTCAACTTAAATGAGGCTTTGATATTGCCTTTCAAGTGATAAAAGCAAATACCATGGCTTGCCCCAGGAAAAACTCTACGCAACCCATTCTGTATGCTAACATTGCGATCTGATATGACAACGAGATTCGAGCAATCACCAATTGCACAATGTAGTTTTCTCAAAAACCACTCCCAAGCTGCATCCGTCTCCAAATCTCCAATCCCAAAGGCAACAGGATATATGTTCCGATTTCCATCAAATG